ATAAAGTGCCAGACTTTACATTTGTCATGCTCACACAGAGCAGAAGTTCAAGTGGCAGCTTTAATTTCCATGAGGTCTACAGCATCAGTGCAATTGTGAATACATTCACATAAACAAAAGGTAATTTTTATTTTAGAATAAAATATGATATTCTTCATACCAGAGGCCAAAATGGTACAACAGTTAGAGTGTTGGACTAGGATCTGGGAGACCTAGGTTGGAATTCCCACTCTGCTACAGAAGCTTGCTGGGGACCTTGGTGCAGCCTGATCTACCTCACAGGATTGTAGAGTGGATAAAACGGAAATGAGAAGAACAATGGAACCTGCTTTGAACCCCCCTTGGGGAGAAACGTGGGGTATAAATGAAGTAAATAAAATAGAATAAATAAAATACCACATATTCCTCCCCCCTCTATATAAAGCAAACTGTGTTGTCGATGACTCACTTTTGACACATTGCACCTTGGAAGTTGTAGTTCTCAGCTGCCTTACTGCAATCATAGCAAAGGGAATTAGAACTACAACTCCAAATTTGGAAGTCCCAAGAGGCCGTGGGGCATTAGCAGGGTAAGTAATCAGCCAATGTTGAAGGGGAAGCAGCTTTGGAATTGAAGGGGGGGGGGGAAAAATCCTGAATGCATCTCCAGCAGAGAGGCTGGAGGTCAGTTCAGTATGCATGCCCACGAAAGCTTATACCTAGAATTAAACTTTGTTGGTCTTAAAGGTGCCGCTGAACTCAAACTTTGTTCTGGAAATCAGTTAAGTGCTGTCTTGCAGCAAGCCCCTGGCTCCAGAGCTCTGTGCCAACCTCTGGGGATTTCTGCAGCATTGGGAAAAGGGAGAAGAGCTGCAGATGGTGGTGCTGAGCAAAGGAGGGAGCATTTATTTGCTTTCAAAATTAGGGAGGGGGAAAAATCCACTCCCTGCCCCCCTGCAAGCCCCTTTGTGGCACCTACAAAACAGAAATAGGTGAGCTTTGTAAAGACAGCAAGGGTGGGGAGGAGTGGATGCCAAGGGTTTGGGGGGAAGATAGCAAGAGTGGGGGGAGTGAATGCCAATAGGGAGGGGATAGGAAGACAACAAGGATTGGGGGGGGATTGAATGCCAAGGGTTTTTTGGGGGGGAGAAGACAGCCAGGGTGGGGTGGGTGGGAAGATAGCCAGAAGGAGTGAATGCCAAGGGTTCGGGGGTGGGTGGGAAGACAGCTAGGGTTATGGGTGGAGAAGCCTGGGGCACTCGCCCAGAGCCTCTTTCAAGAGCTTGTATTTATTCCCACAACAGGCCTTATTCCTAGTAATTAATAACTCACTTACACAATGACCTTTTAAAGGAACAGACAAATTCATGAAGAATTAAAGGAATCTTGATGTTCAAAGACAAAATCTAGAAGCCGGAGATAAACCTAAGGCAATTACCATTACCTGTTTATAAACTTCCAAATTATTCTTAACTGGCTGTTGTTGAAAACAAAATAATAGACTAAATGGATCATGATGTGATCTAGGAAAGTAGTTCTTAAAACCTGTCCCCAATATCTGAGTATCTCAAGGGACATTCAGTGTAGAAAGAAAAATCCTCATTATGTCATCAGCAGTACAACCTTGACCATCAACTTACTAGGGAACTGAGTAAATATGCTTAGAACTGCACTATAAATGATAGGGATGTACAACATTAAACAAGATTAAACTAAAATGATCCATTTACCATTTATATATTACTATAAACATGTAAACATTTTCCAAGACATGGAATACTGGCAAAGGGTGACCTGTGCATCCATCTGTGCTTACAGAACGTGTGTTCCAGTCCTGGCCATACTGTTGATCATCTGTGCCCAAGACTGACACTGGAGCATGTTAACATATTAATTTTTCTTTTAAAAATCAGTAGCAGAACTGATAATATGTAAGAATATGTATGTGGGCTAGATGGGATTGCAAGCTTGATAATGTTTAAACAATAAAGATTCTGATGAAATATAGTATAAGCAAAACTCTAGAAACAGAGATTAAACATAGCTTCTCTTAATCTTTACTGCTGAATTTATTAAACTGATATTCTAAGACAGCAATCCTAAACATATCTACCCAGAGTCCTACTCAAGTCTATTTAATGGGGCTTGCTCCCAAGAAAGTTTTCTTAAGCCTGCACTGTAATTTATTAGATATCCAATATTCCAACAATATAGCACATATAAATTAATGCACCCATTCTCATAGAAATCCAACCTCCAAACGCTATTTAGCCTTAAACTTCCAATTACAAATGATTATGCTTACTTACTTCAGAGAAAGTCTCATTAAACTCAATTACACTGGCACAGGATTGGGCTACAAAGCTACACAGTCGTTATTTCTTCTAAACACTTTTCAGTCTGGCACAGTGTGCTCATGCCAGTTCAGACTTGTGTTCTTTTACAGATTTGATGTGGTCACTAAAGCTGTATGAAGCTAGTGAGAATTCATTCAGAGTTGAAAACAGAATGTCATCATATACATATGACACTCAGCTTTACGTTTCGTTAACTAAGAATACAGGAGCAACTATGATCGAGTGGAGGAGTTTAAGCAGGCTGAAGTTGAACCAAAGTAACAGAGAAGTGGTATGGAATTTCTAGGCTTTGAATGAAGTTGCCATGGCTGTAAATAAGTGTGTCTGAACTATCCCTATTTGAACAGGTTCCAACATTAAGACTGTTCCTAGGTTTGTCCTGCTTTTGGATAACTTTGCCAGAAAGCTCTTTATCATTTTAATTCAGCTCTTTGGAGGGAACATCAGAAGTCTAATCTATGTTTTTATAACCCCTAGAATTTACTATTATAATGTATTCATTAAGGAGGTGCCTTTAAAGAAAATTTGGAAACTGAACTAGTAAAGAATGCCACTGTCTACCTCCCACTGAATGCCAGTTGAATATGCTTAAGCCTCCCAATGCTGGAGCAATGACACTGACTACCAACTTGCTTCCAGGCACAATTAAAAGTGCTTGTGCTTATCTTTCACAGCCTTGGACCCACAGAGACCACCTCTGTAAGTATCAACCCCCATGCTGCTTACACTTCACATATCAGGCCCTACTCCATGTTCAGGCCCTACTCACAGCAAAGGACGAACATCTATTGCTTAGAAGCACAGCCTTTACCACAGTTGTCCTGAGGATTGCGGGAGAAGTATTCTATTCATTTTAATTTATGGCACTACATTTTTAGAGAACTGCTTTAAAATTGATTTTCTATGTTTGTCCAATAACTTTGAACAAAGAAATAAATGGCATCTAAAATATCTTATATTTTTAAAAAAACGAAGCCAGCACATTTTCCAAGAAAAGTTACAGCTGATAGCAGGATTTCACTCTATACGTCACTACTTTAGTATTTTTCTTCCTCTGATAGTGGTACGCAACATACTTTCATTTGTAGATCATACATCCCAGTGCCTGGGAAATCATTAAGAAGTACATAATTAATGCCTTGTATGGTTCATCTTTAAGGCAACTGTAAATGGGCAGAAGATTTTGCTGCTAGTAAAATCTATTAAAATGTCAATTCTAGACATCCTTTCTAAAGATGCCATTACATTCTGATGTGACTAAGAAAGAGATCTCATGACGGGCTATGTGGCTAGAAGGAAACTTGACTTAGTAAGCAGGAGTCGGCAAGGATAGGAAGCAGAGCTAGCATTCCCACCAGGCAAGCTTTTACTTTTTTCTATGTAAGTGAATGGCTGTCATCTGCTTCTATGGAGAAATAACACACTGCCCTTAGGCACAATGTCCTGAGAGCAAAACCTGAGCAGCAGCTGGTATAGTCGTTTGGTGACAGGAACCATCTGCCATTACTACAGGGTGATTATGGGAGGAGGGCAAAGCATGCCCTCACTTATAACCATCAGAAAGTGCAAAAGGGACACAGTGGCAAGCACACACTTGCTGACTGGGTAGCAGCCCCAGAGCACACTGCTGATGGGCACCACTGCTTCCCAAGGCTTACCTGTTAGGGATGTTCACACACACACACACACACAAAGATCATACTCCAGCATCTGCTGGCAGTTCTTCCCAAGGAGCCACCACCATGCACTTTTACAGACAGGCACCTCCCAGGGGAGCTTCCCATAAAAGTCTTTCCCTCCCTTCGCACACAGCACCTGTGATAAGTAAGCATTTTAATAAGCAAATATTTATAAAAGGAAATAAGTGGTTAGGACTGTGTGCCTGTTTTTACAAAATACTAGCAATAACAGTATGAATATGTATATTCAGATGACAGATCACTGACCCTGGACAATAATTCACCACTGTAAACCATTAACACTGTAGCTTCATTTACTGCACCCATTAAGTGCACTAAATAAAATTACAGTGGGGTCTAGGCAGGCAACCAAAGTAACATTACAAGCCTACTCCAATTCTTTCTTCAAATAGAAGATATTTTCCCCCTTACAATTTATAGAACAACTCATTATCTGTCTGGTAAATTTAAGCATTCCAAAATATACAGAGCAGGCTTTTTTTTTAAGCAGCAAACACTTCAACCATCTGTGCAGTATATACAGCAACACACAGCAAAGAAAAAAACTGTACAGAAAGAAGGTTACTTTCCATCCTCTCATAACTGCACGGCTGGCAATATGAACTCAGTAAGTACGGAAGGAGCAGGAGTATGTTATATTTTTAAGTTCACAGGAATTCCTTCTCAGCCAGCAGAATGTTTGTGGACTGGGAAGAAAGAAGAAAGGTAAACGAACAGGAATGAACCGAGATGCAGCTAGCTGGTGCCGGCAGCCTATCCACTCGGTACTGTCACCCTCTCCGAACGAGTGCCATAAATAAACACGCCTGCGCCGGCGGCTCGGTCGAAGCGCGCAGCTCCTTCTTTCCAGCGACAACAGCCAGGGCCGCCTCTCCTTGGCCCAAAGGCGCTCTTCCTTCTCCCTCCTTCCCTCCCTGCCCGCTTCGCTGGGGCCGGTGAGTGTCAGCGCCCCCGCCTCACTCACCGGGTGGAGGTGCCCTTCCTCACATCGCACATCATGCACTTGAAGGCCTCGGCGCTGTTCCGGAAGGTGCACACGCTGCAGTCCCAGTAGCCCTCGTCGGAGGACGGTTTCGGCTGCCGCTTCGGCCTACCCAAAAGGGGGCGGGGGGAGGGGGAGCGAGAAAGAAGGAGGTTTGAGAGACAAAACAAGACATCGCCGCGGTGGCTTTATTCTCTCTCTCCCCCCCCCCCCCTTTCCCCAGCCGCTTTCCCCACCACCCGGGCCTTCCACTGTGAGTCGGCCCCGCCTCACCTCACCTTGTGGGGCTCTTCTTGTCTCCCATGCCGGCTCCAGACGCCTCTCCAGCCCGGCACGGCCCTTTGTGTATTTGTCAATAAGGAGGAGCGAGAGCGGAGGAGAGGCGGGGGCGGGGGCTGGCGAGAGCGGAGGGACCCGGCGAGAAAGGGAGGGAGGAGGAGGAGGAGCCGCCGCCGCTGTTGCTGCGAAGAGCCACGGCTGGCTGCAGCTAACAGCTGCCGGGGGAACTCCTGCTGCCGCCCCCGCTTCCCTCCTTCGCCCCCCTTCCTTCTCCCTCACGTGTCTCCCCGTCGCCAACCAGCAGCCGCCCGCAGACAGGCCAAGGCCGCGGCACCCCAGACGGCGGTGGCGGCGGCCGCTGCAACCCCAGAGCAGGTTTTCCCTCCTGCGGCGGAGGCTGGAAGAGTGGGGGAAGGATGAGGAGAGCTGCGGCGGCGGCAGCAGGAGACTGGGAGAGGCGTTCAAGGGAAAAGGGCCCCCTCGCAGCACACACAAAAAAGCTTCTCTTTCCGCGTGCTGCCTTTATGAGATAGAACTCCGTAGCCATCCGTGGCACCCTGTTTCCCAGCCCAGCTGTCCCAATTCGGATTCGCATTTCATACATACGAGGCCACAAGCCTTGCTTTCCTAGTGTTTTCATCCAGAATGATCTAGACCACCTTAGTCCTTGTAGTGGTTTAAAGTCCCCACTTGGCAATCAGAGCTGCAGTCCTGCTCAGACTTAACCTGGAACTAAGCCAGGCTGAACACAGCGGTGTTTCCTTCAGAGTAAGCATGTTTAAGGATTGCCCTGTGCATGATTTGAAAACATGAACTTTAGCTCTGCCTTGGGGTACAAATGGCTAGGGCTCTCCTTTACTTCATCTCTGTGATTGGGCCTCTAAACGGACTTTGAAATGCTGTTCTTGGTGGTGTGCACTTCTTGTTCACTTCCATAGCAGTCTTTGGTGCAGCTTTGGTGCTGATGGCAGCAGGGTTTCGGGTTATGGTATTTTGAAAAGCAAAAAAGAGGACATATTTTCCAACTGACTACTTCCAATAATTGATCACTATGACAGATATTTTAAATACCCCTGCTATTTAAGCTGAAGCTTGCCTCCACTGGGGGACTATAGAGCAAAACAGGCTCAGTCTCCCAACCCAAAAAGAGGACATCATCACTTTAAAAAAAAGAAAGCCTGAGAGCGTACAGACACACAAAAAAGAGGACATCTGGTAACCCTACCAAGGACATTTGTTTTTTTCTGTTTCTGCACAGCTTTTGGTGTTTTCAGGAACCTTCTGGCATTTCTTTGGCTTTTCCTGCAGTGTTTCCTAAATCCTCTGTAGTGTGGGCATTTGGGGAAATATGACAGCAAAGCCATGATGGCTGACATGCTGTCTAGAGCATTTCCACTTCCACTGATGCCATTTTTCCTGCCCCAATCCCCCAGGTGGCCGTCTCTCCCATATGGGCTTTTCCAGTGGTTTTTTTTTTACTTGGTAGTTGACATTCCACTGTAATAGTATAACAAAATTTGAGTCTGGTGGCACCTTTAAGACCAACAAAGTTTTATTCAAGGTATAAGCTTTTATGTGCAAGCACACTTCTTCAGACCAACACAGCTACCCACCTGAGTATAACAGTATAACACTATAGTGATTTGTCAGATACCAGTTAACTTCCCAGACCCCCTCCCCCATGGGGTGGAATGGCTAACAGGAGGGAATTGTTTGAGAAACTCTGGGAAAACCTGCCAAGTGAAAGCCCCATTTCCACTGTGCTTAGTTGCTATGTACCCACAGTGATGACAAGGAAACCACAGAGAATCATCACTGGAGTGAAAGTCCCTTTTGTAACAGTTGATGCTGATTCTGTATTCGTCAGTGTCTTAGTACAGTCTCAAACAGAAGGAAATCCCATTGGATTCAACAGGGCTTACTTGCTAGTAAGTATGTATAGTATTGTATCCTTAATCATATGGCTACTATGTTGTGCCCTAGGCAGAATCAGTTCTTAGCATCCCTGTCATAACTTACAGGCTTGCCAGGGATGACTTTCTGGCATACTATACATTTCTGGAAATTGGTTTTATCACCTTCCCTGCATTTCTCTGCATAAGTACTACACTTGTTTCAGTAATCTTCTGCTTATTTATGACATTTGAAATAAAAGAAAAAACATTGAAATGCAGTTTACAGTTATGAAACAATATTTCTCATTCTGCAATATAAATGCCCAGCGTATCTTCTACCCAGGCTCTCTCAGCAGTCCTTAGAGGCCCACGCCACTTCCCACTTTTGAGGCTTATAGCCATAATAAAAACAATAAATCACAGCACAGGAAAACAAATTAAGGCATGAAAAGAAAACTGACATAATTTTAATTTTTTTTTTAATTTAAGCTGAGATAGTATGTCAGATTTGGGTTTCATAAGAATGTGCTTTAAAACAACTTGTAAAAGTTCCAAGGCAATAATAATAATAATAACAACAACCCAAAGCCTCCTTTCTGTTTTAGGCCAAGGACAAATGGCCCTTCAGCCCCATCCCTGTTTCTACAGTCAAAATAAAAATATGGGTATATATGTCTTCTTTATCAGTTAAACAGTGTCCATATTTTTATTGAAGTCTTTACCATCTGCTCTTTTTACTATTGTTTTAAAACCACACACATTTCCTCCCCTAGCACATACAGACCCATAAAACTGCCTTATCCAAATTAGGCTACAGGTCTATCAAGATTGAAATTGTCTATTATAACTGACAGTAACCCTCTAGGCAGTCCCAGGAAGAGGTCTTTCTTATCACCTACTGGTGGGTCCTTTGTACTGGAGATGCCAGGGACTGAATCAGGGCCTTCAGTATGCAAGACAGATACTCTACCACTGACTACAAAATGGGGGATGAAAAGTGCACACAGGAAGATATCCAGCGACTGCATTACCCTGATTGTGATTATGACAGTGGTTTGAGAGTATTATTAACTTATCTGCATTATATGATACTGAGTATATGATACTTATATGATACTTATACATTATATGATACTTCTCCGCTAGCAAGGTCATGCTCAAGATCCTACAAGCTAGGCTTCAACAGTACGTGGATAGAGAACTACCAGAAGTACAAGCTGGGTTTCGAAGAGGTAGAGGAACTAGAGATCAAATTGCCAACATTCGCTGGATTATGGAAAAAGCAAGAGAGTACCAGAAAAATATCTACTTCTGCTTCATTGACTATGCTAAAGCCTTTGACTGTGTGGATCACAACAAACTATGGCAGGTCCTTAAAGAGATGGGAGTACCAGACCACCTCACATGTCTCTTGAGAAACCTGTATAAGGGCCAAGAAGCGACAGTTAGAACCGGATATGGAACAACTGATTGGTTCAGCATAGGAAAAGGAGTACGACAAGGATGTATATTGTCACCTTGCTTATTTAATATATATGCAGAGTACATCATGCGAAATGCTGGCCTGGATGAATCACAAGTGGGAATTAAGATTGCTGGGGAAAAGATCAACAACCTCAGATATGCAGATGATACCACTCTAATGGCTGAAAGTGAAGAGGACCGAAAGAGCCTCTTGCTCAGAGTAAAAGAGGAGAGCGCAAAAGTGGGCTTGAAGCTCAACATCAAAAAAACTAAGATCATGGCATCCGGCCCCATCACTCCTTGGCAAATAGAAGGGGAAGTCGTGGAAGTAGTGACAGACTTCACGTTCCTGGGATCCCAGATCACCGCAGACTGTGACTGCAGCCATGAAATTAAAAGACGCCTGCTCCTTGGGAGGAAAGCGATGGCGAACCTAAACAGCATGATAAAAAGTAGAGACATCACCCTGCCAACAAAAGTCCGCATGGTCAAAGCAATGGTATTCCCAGTAGTCATGTATGGCTGCGAGAGTTGGACTATAAGGAAGGCCGAGCGCCGAAGAATAGATTCTTTTGAACTATGGTGCTGGAGGAGACTCTTGAGAGTCCCTTGGACTGCAAGAAGAACAAATCAGTCAATCCTCAAAGAAATCAACCCTGACTGTTCCCTGGAAGGCCAGATAATGAAACTGAAGCTCAAATACTTTGGCCACCAAATGAGAAGGGAGCACTCACTGGAGAAGACCCTGATGCTGGGAAAGATTGAAGGTCAAAGAAGACGGGGACGGCAAAGGATGAGATGGTTAGACAGTGTCAGCGATGCAACGAACATGAAATTGAGCCAACTTCAGAGGACGGCGGAAGACAGGAGGGCCTGGCGGGAGATGATCCATGGGGTCGCGAAGAGTCGGACTCGACTGTGCGACTGAACAACAACAACATACATTCATACATTGCATGGAGAATCCTATTAAGATTAAAAAAACAATGCAGTAGCTCATCTCTATTAAATTATGTTGCATATGTAAACACTTCATGTTTGATTGCAGAAGGATTACTATTTTTGTCTTGTGACACCTTTGTTGTTGTTGTTCAGTTGCACAGTCCAGTCCGACTCTTTGCAACCCCATGGACCCCTTCACACCAGGCCCTCCTGTCTTCCGCCGTCCTCCAGAGTTTGCTTAATTTCGTGTTCGTTGCATCGATAACACTGCCTAACCACCTCATCCTTTACCATCCCCTTCTTTTACCTTCAGTCTTTCTCAGCATCAGGGTCTTCTCCAGTGAGTGCTCCCTTCTCATTTGGTGGCCAAAGTATTTGAGCTTCAGCTTCAGTATCTGGCCTTTCAGGGAACAGTCAGGGTTGATTTCCTTTAGGATTGACTGATTTGATCTCCTTGCAGTCCAAGGGACTCTCAAGAGTCTTCTCCAGCACCATAATTTGAACGCATCTATTCTTCAGACGGCACTCTGCTTTCCTTATGGTCCAACTCTCGCAGCCATACATTACTACTGGGAATACCATTGCTTTGACCATATGGACTTTTGTTGGCAGGGTGATGTCTCTACTTTTTATTATGCTGTCTAGGTTTGCCATTGCTTTCCTCCCAAGGAGCAGGCGTCTTTTAATTTCATGGCTGCAGTCACCAAGTAACAAATGTATTGCGGCAGAAACTTTCTGTGAGCCAGAGTTACTTTGTCTAGTACATGAAGTTGGGAGGAAGAATGTTTTAAAATAACGTTTGAGCTAGTATTACCAGATGCCTGTTACATGGGGACATGCAAATGTGGTTTCTATTTATCACATACACATTACCTCAGTTTGCAATAGACAGCCATTATTTGGAGTTTTTTCTAGGAGCAATTTCAAATAGAT